CCCCCAAGTGACTGTGGGTCACTCTCAGGAAATCACAACTACTCCTGATGATTCTAGGCTCCTCGATCTGATGTACGTCAAGTTCATTGAGCCGTACGTTGCAAAAGATCACTCACCGCTCATCGATCAGTCCCCGAGTCGCATCAATTTGGTCATCGACGACACAGTCCAACGCTGTATGTCCACAAATTTGGTGCAACGCAAGTTCGACAGTCATTTTGATTTCTTCGCAGTACGGGAATAACATAAACTCGTCCGTGGGCTGCAACACCCTGAACTCAGTTCTTTCCCAGCTTTTCGTACGCTGACTTGGTGCTTTCCAGAACACGTTCGTGTTCACGGTTCCAACACAATCCCGTTTTCGGCTGCTGCCATCTTTGTCTGTCCTGCCCCCTCTTCTCTTGCGCGCGAAGTGGCGTGACATCCCGGGACGCACCAATCAGTGTAGCGCGTCTCAACAGGCGTCGATTATGAGACCAAAACTTGTCCATGACGTCACAAATACGGGTTTCCTTAATAAATAACGCACGGGCCCGTAGTAACAAGAAATATAAAGAAAACTACCTAGATTTAAAGAAACAGTAAAGTTACCCTGGTTTCAATCAGTTAAATTAAAAATCTGTTGTGGTCGAGTATCAGTTTTCGTCAGGGCTTGCACAGTCGTCTTAGGTACGGCGTAGATTGTATTTGTTCTACAGTGGAACATAGAAGCTATGCCTAAATGACACTATCTTTTGACTCCCTTCCGACAAAGAAAATACCACAGATATGAGATGCCAAAGTTGGTGAAAGAGGAAATGTAATGTGAAAATAAGCTCATCTCATTTTCGGACAATGTCGAACATGCTCTCTTTAACTCATATAGAAGAAATCGGACATGAATCATCATTACTGTTCATTGCGAGTTTTTACGTTGTGCTCTATCTATTAAATGCAGGAATTTGCAACGGGTACGTTTCATTCTAGTATACTATTACATGGCCAACCCTGTGTGTTTATTCCGGTATCTAGTTTTGAATTGAAGATGACATTTAAACGGGATAACGGGTGTCTTGCTACCAATACATGCTCCTTATTTTTTCTATCTTCAATCTAATAAATCGTCTGTAATTTTCCGAGGGGGGCGGGCATTTTCTATGATTATTTTAAATGACAGTGCGGTTGACCAAATGGAACACTGGTACATATAAAAGTGGTGGATATACTTCGCGTGACTAGCTCAGCCGTGGCCATTCATTTCGCATTCAATTCAACGCATAATTTGATAACGAAAACTGTATTTCTAAAATATGTTTTTACTTCAGAGACGGTGCTTGTTCTACATTAAAAGCATTGAATTTATGCCATTGTTCTAGCGATTAAAGTGACGTACACCTTGCCAATAAAACCGCTTAGTTTTCTAAACTAATAGATCAAAAACAAACTATAAATATAATTTCTTTCTACTATATTTTCTCCTCTGATGGCGCTGTAAACAATTGTTTAAAGTAGTCGTTTTCGTTTGTCAGTAATAGTGTCTTTATATTTGTTCTTATATTGAAAAAATAATCATTGATCGAACCTTGGTGTCGACTGCTGGGGTGTTTACTTTCTATTTTTATGCTGGGTGAATATATCGCCCCCTAGTGACCAAAACGCAAAACTTGGGGCTGGGACCATCCTTGCCTGGTATGCGTAAACGAACGCTTCGTTTCTCTCACCTGTTTCTTTTTCGTGTTCACTGAATACACGAATCGCTTATTTTTCAAGAAATTAAGTAGGGCTTTTAGTGTGTTAGCGTCAACAAATACTTAAAATGCTTAATCCTGGCCAATATATCCAGTGGTTTTGAATCTTGCAAATTGCGACCTGTTATAATTATTTTTTTCTAAACCAAAGAAATACTTTTTATTCAACTGTCAAGCACCTATTGACCCATCAATAATATATTTATATTCAACTTGTAAATTGTAATTGTAACATCTTTGCGCTCATTTAGCCACGGAACGAATTTGTGTAATAATCAAAAACGTGTAGTAGTTATGAAGCGATACTATCCATAAATTCCAAGTACCAGAATCCACGTTTTGACTCTTTTACCCGAGTAGAAAGTGTAATGGAGGAGTGATCTGAAAGTGCACATTGGAGTATTAATGACTGAAAATTACAGATAACATCGAAATAATGGAGGTTGTTTTCAACGAAAGATCCCGACTTCTTCAAATAAATATATATTTGGCGAACATGTATTATGGCATTGCATTCTAACCGCGTATAATTAATGGTCGTGGGGAAAAATGACAGAAGACTGTTAAACTGAGCCTGGAGATGTTTTTTCGATCTCAAGCAACGCTAATATCTGCATGTTATTTATATACAGATAACACTAATGTCTTTAGAGGAAGCTGTAGAAAACTACAATCTTGGTGGGACAGAATTTTCTAAAAGACAGCTGCCTCCTATACACCCGGGTAAGGTTTATTCACTTTAAAGATATAGACGAAAACATATATTGCTATTTGATACTGCGTACTGTAGTCCAAATCGAACAATAGTTCATCAGCAACTAAAAATTGATGTGTTTGCATGTCTCAAAAAAGTATTCGTTTGATCAAAAATCAAAACTTGTATTGTACGTACAAATTAAATAGTGTACATGCTTATTAGTATTTATGCTTATTTCATTGTTTCTTTGAACGAACGCACAAATGTGTGTTAAAAAAACAGTATATTGCAATATTGTTATGATAAATCATCAAAACAAAACTATAGAAATTTACATGTTCTCAGCGATATTGCATCCCCAAACAAATATTTGGCAAAATTAATCTTATCTGACTCCTTTTTATATTGTATTTGAGATGATATTCCATTTAGATGGAATGGCGGTATGTACTAAAGCATGAACCATTCAAAATGAGTAGCGCTGATTATCGTTATTATTGTCGGTATTAGCTTGAACATAACTGTGATCATACACGTCTTGAATATTGTGTATCTGTAAGAATAGTAGGATACACTGTGTTTGAATAATATCCGTGTTAAATGTAGCTCAGTAAAATAAACAATCAATTGACAACACCAAAATAAATAATGATCATACAATATGTATATTATGTATTCATTAGATACTGTGATGGTATAAATAATTAACATAGAATATGCATACTGTAAAACATGCCTTTTTTGCGAGCATGTCTTTTTCGCGAATTTAGGTAGAAAACTGACTGCTAATTCAGAATGTCGCTAATGACTTTATTATCAATTCAAAATGGTCGCCAAACAAAGAAATCAACAATGACAAGAGAAATTCGCTAAATCAACATTTCGCTATTACGTCATTTTACTACAATTCGCTAAATTTGCATGCCTCTTTTTTAACATGTATATTATGCATTGATTGGATACTGTGATGGTATAAATAATTAACATACAATATGTATATTATAAATTCATTAGA